TCTTTCTTTCTTTCTTTCTTTCTTTCTTTCTTTCTTTCTTTCTTTCTTTTTTTCTTTTAATATATTTTATTGATTTTTTACAGAAAGGAAGAGTTTGAAACATAGATGAGAGAGAAACATCGACCAGCTGCCTCTTGCACACCCCTTACTGGGGATGTTTCCTCAACCAGGGTACATGCCCTTGACTGGAATCGAACCTGGGACCTTTCAGTCCACAGGCCGACACTCTATCCACTGAGCCAAACCGGTCTCTGCTGGACAGGCTCTTTTCACATGTCACCTGGGAAGTGGGCAGGTGTTATTATTTGCTTCCATTTCACAGTTGCAAAAACCGACTCAGAAGGTTAAATCTCAGCAGCCATTCAGCAAATACTAAATGCCAACTGCACGTGCTAGGGATTTGCTCAACATCAAAGAATAAGCAAGCAGCAGAGCCCAGATCCAACCCCATGTCCTCTGGATCCCCAAAGCCCTGCGTATACTCTACTATTGATATTATGCTTCCTCATGAGATCCTTGTCTTTAATGAGTTTCCTATCTAATTGGAGAGATAGACAAGAAAGCATGACAAAATAATTATGCCACTGGCAGGATAACAAGCACCTGCCCTTCTCCCGCAGTGAGTGACAGGCAGAATGAGGTAGATGGAGGCATGGGGACCAGAGGAGGCACCTTAGGGCAAGTGGTATCTAAGGTGAGCTTGGAGAGATGCTGAGTTAGATTTTTCATGACTTAGGATCTAGGGAGGGGCTGGCTCTCAGTCCAGTAGAATCTAGGATGGCTGCAGAGTTACCCAATCCTGCTAGGAGTAAGGAGTGTATGGAAGGAGGCTACCTAATGTCTTCTGATACCTTTGGTGGCTATTTCCCCCTGGCCTTTTGGTTTTTAAAATATTTACCTAAGTTTCTTGCAATGAGACACCCTCCTCTCCCTCCTCTCCCCCCACCCCACACTGAGTGGTCAGTGTTAGTCACCTCCCTTCTCAGACTGTGCATCTGTATTAGGAAGGTCAGGTTGGTGGAGCTGGCCTGCATGACCTTGGGCATTCTCTTAGGCCCTGAGAATATGGGAAAGGAAAAGTAGAGCAGACCAGGACTCCGGGCCCCCAGAGCAGGATCTACAGATGTTGTGCCCTGGGAGGAAGATTTTGGCGCAGGCCAAGCCAGTTAGAATGGCTAACCCTAGGCTTGTCCCTTCTTGTCTGCATACTGATTTCTTTTAAAACTAGCCTCATTGTTTCTATGCCCAGGAATGTCTACTTGATTAGGATCACAGACCCTATATATTCTATATTACATATTTCTTACCACCCTGTGTCCCAGCCCCCAAAACATGCAGATGTTCCCAAAGGGGCACAGCCTCTGTGGGCTGATCCCAGAACTATGCTGACTCAGAGCATGAAGAGCAGAGTTCATTCCCTAAGGAAGCAGAAGGGAAGGAAGGAGGGTAAACGAAGAGGAGGGATGGGGGAGTTATTTTTTGATGTGGAGTCAAGTGTTAAAGTGAGAGGGGGTATGCCAGCCTTTCATGCTAGCTCCTCGTGTTTCTGAAGCCCAGAGAGGGAACTGACTTGCCCAGAGTGGCTCAGCTCACCCAGAGCTGACAGAGACCAGGGTATTCAAGTGAGGCTCGGTGTTTTGCCCAATGCTGCCCGGCCACTCATTTTCTGGAGTTTCCTTTCCTGTGACTTGAGGATGGGAGCAAGAACAGGAGGGCAGGGAGCAAACTGGTCCCTTGGGATTCTGGCTGCTACTACTGCCCATCCCTTCTCCTGACCAGCTTGTAAACAAGTCTAGTTCCCAGGCAGCCAGGAATCCTTCTGAGTCTTCTATCTCTAGCCCCTGGGAAACAGATAAGGTCAAGAGATTTCTGCCTTTCTCCCCTGCATACCCCCTCCATCCCCTGGGACAGAGGCGGGAGAGGAGAGGGATGGGGCAGAGTAACCTTGGGAAGATAAGGCCAGTCGACCTTGGGAAAGTAGGGAGTTAGCACAGGGTTTGGGGAGGAGAATTGGGGAACTTAGTAGCATGGGGGAGTGTTGAGTGTGCAGAGCCCCAGACTCCTAAGTGGAGGCCTGGACATGTGGTGGCAGGAGAGGACCTGGACAGCCTGGGGAGGTCTGCTTCCCTGCCTCTGAATCCAGTGGGAGAAATAAAATGTTTATGGAAAGCAATTAGGAGGAGTCATGAAATGACATGTGGACAGGGGCTGGGCTCAAGTAAGGATTGTCTCCTTAGAAGGCTCCTTTCTTCATTCAAAAAAATGTTTTAAATGGTATTCATTGTAGCATTATAGTAATTGTTTATAATATGCAAATTTTCCATTAAAATCCAGGGGAAATAGGAATTAAGCACCTTAAAATCTGCCTAGGAGACAAAAGAAAATGATGCTAATAGCTCTCAAGGTGCTTATATCTTATCTGTTGACCCTATATGATCTTATTGGAAGCTTCCTCAAATTCTTTTTGTAATGAGGTGAAATAAGTGGCAGGAGGTGGGGATAGATAGATAAATAGATAGAGGTCAACTCTTTTTAAAATTTATATATATATATATATATATATATATATATATATATATATATATATTTCAGAGATGAAGGCAGAGAGAGATAAAAACATGCCTCACACTGGGGATCGAGCCTACAACCAGGCATATGCCCTGATCAAAAGTCAAACTGTGAACTCCTAGTTCATGGGTCAACCCTCAACCACTGAGCCACACTGGGCAGTAGAAATCAATTCTTGAAGCACCTAAAATTCTTGAAGGTCACTGAGCCACTGGGAGCCAGCTTGGCTGTCCTGCCCTTGGCCCACTCCCCACTGCTCCATCCATCACTTCTCTAGGGTTGGGAAAGGATTGGGGCTAGACCTTCCCAGGATACAGTGATGGGCAGGTCCTAAGCATGGAGGGGAGAAGGTCTGGATCAGCGATTTTCAACCTTTTGCATCTCATGGCACACATAAATTAATTTCTAAAATTCTGTGGCACACCAAAAATGTGTTAATCTGACCCAAAAATTAGGTATAATTTTTATTCACTCACACTGGACAACTATTGTTGTCATTTTTTTGTTTATTTGTTTAACAATCTAAGGAAAAAGAGGTCAGTGCCACCCTAGCTGGTTTGGCTCAGTGGATAGAGCATGGACTGGAGGATCCCGGGTTCGATTTCGGTCAAGGGCACATGCCTGGGTTGTGGCCTTGATTCCCAATTTGGGAGGAGAGGGGGGTGCAGGATGCAGCCGATCAATGATTCTCTTTCATCATTGATGTTTTGATCTCTCTCTCCCTCTCCCTTTCTTTCTGAAATCAATAAAAATATATATATTTTTTTTTAAAAAAAGTTCAGTGCCCTGGCTCAATAGTCAGTTTTAAAAATTCTTGTGGCACACAGGTTGAAAATCACTGGTCTGGACTATGAGTCTCTCTCTTCACTGAGGAGAGAACTCTGGCTCCTGGACTACTTAGAAAGGGATGATAACAATGATGTCGGGTGGTGTGTGTGTGTGTGTGTGTGTGTGTGTGTGTGTGTGTGTGTTAGACCGTAAAGGACTTACATATCTCCCTGCAACCACCTCTTCAAGCATCTCACTCTTTAGTGTTAAGTTCTATCTTAAGACCTAAATTCCTCTTGCTGCTATTTAAGCCCATTACATTTCATTGTTGCTGGGCCAGAACATGCCTGGGAAGCCTGTACTTGTGGAGCAAATGGGGACAGTGGGGTGGATGTACACTGAAGCTAAACTGAAAAGAAGGCCACCTTGACCTTCGGCACCTATCTGCCACCATTTTCCTCTACATTTTCTATTTCCTGATGCCACTTTTCTCTCCCCGCCCAGAGAGTCTTTTTCTGCCCTCTGCTGAAGGGTTTTTGAGTGGTCTCAAATTACCCTCAGCTCCCAAGTGCTCAACGCACTCATTCCTACAAGACAGGCATACCAGTTAAGCATTCAAATAAGAGCAATCTGATGAAAGCCCTTTCATCCAGGTGTGAATACCCAGCCAAGTTAACCTTCGCAGGCCTGGTATGGAGACCAAAGGGTAACTCTCTTGTCAGAATGAAGGCGGGGAATATGTGTGGGAGCCAGCATGGTGGTGGGAATGGAGGGATTTCTGAAAGTGTGTGGAACTTCCCACAAGGTCTTTACCCACCCGCTCAGTGTCCCCCCTTCTCCAATCAGTGATGTCACCCCATTGCATAGGGCTTGGCTTGCTGCCATGCTGCTCTGGGAAGGCCACAGCTCATGGAGTGGGAGAAGGGTCACTGTCACCTGCTTCACAATGCTTCAGAGACTCAGCCCCAGCTCCTTCTTCCTGCTCTCCAATTCAGGGAAACAGAGGATCTGAGGGTGGGAGGGGAGGGCCCACCTTAGAGGTCAAACCCATTCTTCCATTTTACAGAATGAGAAACTTGGGCTGGAGAGGGAGTGTGACTTCTCTCAGAGGCTCCATTCCCCACACACTAACATCAGATGGTTTTCTATGTCCCTTGGGATTGCCCATGCCTTGCTAGCATCAGGACTATTCAGCTGACACATATCCAGCTTGTGGTCCACTAAGACCAGTTATTTTTCTGATCGTTTTCTAAAATCTTTTTCTTTTTTTCTTTTTTTTTGACAACCTTCTTGATCTTCCTTCTGTTAAATTCTTCCTTGTCTCCCTTTGGGTGAGGCCTGTTGAGTTTCAGTCTTGGCCTGCCTGCTGCCAGCTGTCTTTACCTTGAGTCAAATTAGATAAGGATTTATTAGTAAAAACATGCATAGAAGGATAAGATTGAATTCTTGCTCTACAGTGGATTTCAGTCTAGACTCTAGTTAAAAGGGAACACAGACATGGATGAAATGGCAGGGGAACCAGATAGGAGAATCTCAATCTTAGTTGGTGGTGGTGGGAGGCATAACCCGGCTGATTGGGGGGTGGGGGTGGGGTGTTGCTCTCCCTCTCTGTCACCCCCTACCCTTGGAGTTATACCCCTGACTTGCTGTGTTTTGCTTCCTAGGGCAGTGGGCAGCCCCTTGGTCATGGACCCCACCAGTATCTGCAGGAAAGCACGGAGGCTGGCAGGGCGGCAGGCCGAGTTGTGCCAGGAGGAGCCAGAAGTGGTGGCCGAGCTAGCGCGGGGTGCCCGGCTTGGGGTTCGAGAGTGCCAGTTCCAGTTCCGTTTCCGCCGCTGGAACTGCTCCAGCCACAGCAAGGCCTTTGGGCGCATCCTGCAGCAGGGTCAGTGTGTGGGGGGGGGGGGGGGGGGGGGGGGGGGGCTCTGGGCTCTGGGCTCAGGAGAAAGAGCGGAGGTTTGGGGAGGCTGCCCGAGCCCCACCTCTCCCAGAATCTTTGGGCCCAGCTTTGGTGCTGTGCTGACTGCTCCTCCCTGTCCCCACAGACATCCGGGAGACTGCCTTCGTCTTTGCCATCACGGCTGCGGGCGCCAGCCATGCAGTCACGCAGGCCTGCTCCATGGGCGAGCTGCTGCAATGTGGCTGTCAGGCACCCCGCAGGCGGGCCCCATCACGGCCCCCTGGCCTGCCAGGCACCCTTGGGCCCCCTGGCCTTGTGGGCTCCCCAGAGGGCAGTGCAGCTTGGGAGTGGGGAGGCTGTGGGGACGATGTGGACTTCGGGGATGAGAAGTCCAGGCTCTTCATGGATGCGAGGCATAAGCGGGGAAGTGGAGACATCCGAGCATTGGTGCAACTTCACAACAATGAGGCCGGCCGGCTGGTGAGTATGGGCAGGGGTGCGCGAGAGGGTGTGTGCACGACGGTGGAAACGTGTGCGTGTGTCAGTGGATGTGGGACAGTTGTGTGGCTGGGTGGGTGTAGGACAGTGTGGTGAATGTGTAGGAGCACTTTGTTGAAGTGGGAGAAGTGAGTGTCTGAGAGAGGGTGTGTATGTGTAGGAGTATGTTAACGTGTGTGGGAGCTAGCGTGGCGGTGGAGGGCCACTTGGGAAGATTGGTTGGGGGCCTGGGACAGGGTAGGGAAGGTCACCCAGGGGAGAGGCTTTTAGGGACCCCAGGTAGAGAGGGCATACCTCTGAACAGGACAGGTGGGGTAAAGCTTGGGGTGGGTAGAGATGTGGCTGCCAGGGCAGGGACAAGAGGATGGAGACAAATGTCTTAAGGTAGGGGAGCCAGGAGGTGTGAGGGAGGCCAGAAAAGGGGCTAGACCAAGGAGCAATGGGCTGGATCCTGGCGGAGGCAGGAGGGGGTCAGGCAGAGGCCAGGAAAGCTGTGTCTGAATCGGGATTCTTGTCAACTGGCTTCCCAGAAATCCTAGACCAGGCCCTGCCCAGAACTCTGGCAGCCTGTCCCGTCCCTCTGCAGTGAGGAGGCCCCAGGAGCTTGTTTAGGGACAGAAAGCTCTCTGGGTCAGAAGTCTCCAGGGGGAAGGACAGAACCTGGGAGGGGAAGGGATACAAATGTCTGTAATAGATGTTGAGATTCCAGAGATGATCTTCCTAGGGCGTTTGGCCCCATAAATCTCTGGTGGGGTTGTGACTCTTAGACACAAACAGCAAACAGAGGACAGGACTCCTGGGGTTCTAGTTCTCAGTAGTACGTCTACAGTGGGCACCCTGCCTCAGTTCTAGGGTGCTCTAGAGGCATCCCCACACATCGCCTGTATCTTCTATAATAGAGTTTGGGGCTGAGGCATGGGCAGAGGGTGAGAAGGGGCCCAGAGCAGTATGTCCTGACAGGCCCACATACCTGCCAGAGAGGGCTGGGGAGGGATGGTGGAGACAGGCGCCCAAGGAGCGGGCTCTGCGCCTCCGCTCAGCTCTGCCTGGTGCCTTGAGGGTTGGCAGAAGGGAGAAGGTGCGACAGCTACCACCGCCACCTCTCCTGCTCCAGGGAGATTCTCACCCGGCGCCGTCCGTTCTACCGTCTCCCCATTCTCTGGCTTTGGATCCCAGAGTCCCTGTGCTTCATTCTTTCCCCCACTCCACACTTCTACCTCTCCATCATTGTCATTCTTACCTTCCACTCCGGGCTGTCGCTTCCTTAACTTTTTTTTTGTCTGCTCTTTCCTTTCTTCCAACCCCCCTATTTTCTGTCTGTATGTCCATTGGGCCTTTCCGAGACCCGTACCCCACATGTGTCTCCTTTTGCCTGCTCCTCTGCTCCCCGCAGGCGGTGCGGAGCCATACACGCACTGAATGCAAGTGCCACGGGCTGTCGGGCTCGTGCGCTCTGCGCACCTGCTGGCAGAAGCTGCCTCCGTTCCGGGAGGTGGGCGCGGAGCTGCTCGAGCGCTTCCACGGCGCCTCGCGTGTCATGGGGACCAACGATGGCAAGGCTCTGCTGCCCGCCGTCCGCAATCTCAAGCCGCCGAGTCGCGCCGACCTGCTCTACGTCGCCGACTCGCCCGACTTCTGCGCCCCCAACCGGCGCACAGGCTCTCCAGGCACGCGCGGCCGCGCCTGCAACAGCAGCGCGCTGGACCTCAGCGGCTGCGACCTGCTGTGCTGCGGCCGCGGGCACCGCGAGGAGAGCGTGCAGCTCGAAGAGAACTGCCTGTGCCGCTTCCACTGGTGCTGCGTGGTGCAGTGCCACCAGTGCCTCGTGCGCAAGGAGCTCAGCCTCTGCCTCTGACCCGCCGCCCGCAGCTCCCCCAACAGCGCGCAGCGCTGCCTCTCGTACCTGTGTGACCTCTGGGCTCCAGCAGAGGGCGCTGCCGTAGCCCAATTTACTCTTGTAAAAGTCCATCTCCCAAGCCTCTGGAAACTGAGGTTGGAGTCATTCGCGTGCCCAGGAAGACCCAGTGCATCGCAGGGATTCCCAGGGGTGCTTTAACGCGTTCTGGGGAGCCTATACGCTGTAGGGAGCTCTGCAGTTTCCCTCTTTTGGTCCCAGATGGAAACTTCTCTAGGCCTCTGGATGCGGGGTCCCTAGGAACTGCTGGCCATGTGTTGGGTGGGTGAGTTTAGTATCAATAAAGATATTTAAACCAATAGGACTGGGACCACCGTTTGGGAGGGGGGCTGGTCTCCTGCGGGTTAACATGGGCCAGGTTCTGGAAGGTGGTTTTGATAGAACTGGGTCCCTATCCTCTCCTTCCTCTGCCCTCCCTTGGGACTGGGCTCTCCTGGCAACCATGGTGAAGAGTGCCAAATCTCCCCTTGGCATTCTTTTGTTCACTCTTGTCACACATGTAGAGCCTGGATCTACAAGCTGGGGAAGAAGTAACAATCCCTCTTTAAAGGAACAGACTCTAGAGAGGGTCTGGGGAAAGCACACGGGAAGCCTCTGCTGGCGTACTCAGCTCTCATCAACATTCTAGGGGAGTGTGACACCCTCCTCTGCCCTTCTGTTTCTGTGATCCCTGGGGGATTTGTGGGTAGACTTTTAGGGCCACCCAAGCCCATAGGATTAAAGCACTTTATGAACCGTAGAATGTGATGAAATATGTTATTACTAACATCAGACTAAACATTTGAAACTAACTTTACCCCCATTAACACTGAAAAGACTGCTCAGAACAGCATTTCTAATTACATGTAGAGGGAGACAAAGAAAAGTTGTTCCAAGGTTTTTCCTGGCACCCAACTACATTTCCTTCCTTCTAGTTCTTTCTCGGGAAGCTGATGGTTAGTGCGGAGGGGAGAGGAGAAAGGTGTGGGAGATCTGGGCTCTCCAGAGCTGAACTTCATGCCCCCATCTTCCTCCAGAGAGAAGGGGAAAGGGGACAGCCAAAAGGCTAGCATTCAAAGCCCCCAATATTCTCATAGTCCAAATACTGTACATGCCCCCTTCAAGGTATATAGGGCAAAGCAAGAGCTTTGGGTCTGGAGCTGGTGCTGCTGCTTAGAAGTTTACGGTACAGATCATGTGAGTCTCGGTTTCTTTACCTTTATAATGGGGCTATCATCCTGTTCCAGTTATCCATTGCTGCATAACAAACAACCCCAGCATAACTACTTCTCACGGTCCTTTTGGTCAGGAATTTGTCAAAGCTCAGCTTGGTGGTTCTGCTCCTTATGACAGAACTATTGGCTGTAGTCATTCACTTGGCTGTACTCCACTGGTGGCTGGGCTGGGCTGGACACTCAAAGGGGCTTCACTCATATGTCTAGTGCCTCAGAGCTTCTCCAGTGGCCTCCTTCTCTCCATGTGTCTAGCTTGGGCTTCCTCATAGCATGGTGGCCTCCATGTGACGGGACTTCCTACATGAGGCTGACTTTTGACATAGACTGTGCCAGCCTGGGAGGCAGAAGCTGCCGTCTCTTCTTTTAGTTCCAGCTTTGGAAGCTGCACAGCATCTCTGTTACTCTCTATCGGTCGCCACTAGTCATAGAACCAGACAAAACTCAAGGGGAGGAGAAATAGACGCCACCTCTCCATGGGAATGTGGCAAAGAATTTGCAGCCATTACAATCCATCCCACGTCCTCATAGAATTGTGGGGAGGATATCTTTCAACTATGAAAAGCACTCAGCACAGAATAATTTATGTTAAATTTATGCTAAATAATTTATAGTTGCTGTAAGAATGAGAATAGAAAGCTGTGGGATGTTGTTGTTTTTGTAGGTATTAGGCAGGCCCTGATTGAAAATAAAGATACCCAACTCAAACTAGCTTGGTCCAGCCTGGCCCATGTGGCTCAGCAGTTGACCTTTGACCCAGGAACCAAGAGGCCACAGGTTCTATTCCTGGTTAGGGCACGTGCCTGGGTTTTGGGCTTGATCTCCAGCAGGGGTCGTGCAGGAGGCAGCTGATTAATGATGCAGGAGGCAGCTGATCAATGATGCTTCTCTCTCATTTTGTTGATGTTTCTATCTCTCTATCCCTCTCCCTCTTTTCTCTATAAAACTCAATAAAGACATATTTTTTAAAAAACTAGCTTGGTCCAAAGAAATTTAATTAATGGGTCTTATACCTTGGAAGTCCAGGGGTAAAACTGAATTCAGACACAGCTGAACCCAGGGTCCCAAAGCGTGTCATACATCTCTTTTCCCACCTCCACCCCAGATCTACTGTCTCTGCTTACCTCTGCCTCTCTCTCTCTCTCTCTCTTTTTTTTTTTTAATATATTTTATTGATTTTTCACAGAGAGGAAGAGAGAGGGATAGAGAGTTAGAAACATTGATGAGAGAGAATCATCGACTAGCTGCTTCTTGCACATCCCCTACTGGGTATGTGCCCGCAACCAAGGTACATGCCCTTGACCGGAATTGAACCCGGGACCTTTCAGTCTGTAGGCCAACGCTCTATCCACTGAGCCAAACCGGTGCCAACTCTGCCTCTCTTTTCATGCCTCCTCATTCTTGCCTACTGCAGATTGATTTTCTCTAAATGATAGCTCTATGCCTACATTCTTAGAGCTAGTGATATGAAAAAGAATGGCCTTCTAAGCCTAGGTCCTGAGGAAGACCCTGACTGGGTCAGCTTGGGTCTTGCCTATTCCTGAAGAAATAACAGTGTCAGAGAGATGTACTACTTTGACTGGGATTGACAGCCCCACCAAGACCACAGAGAGTAAGGGCACAGGGAGGATGGCAGAGTTCTTCAAATGAAACAGAAGGAAGGAGAACTCATCCTGGACGTGCCAGACCCTAACTATGGCTTCTAGAGCATCTGTCCTCCCCCCTCAATGCCCTCCATCCACATCTATCACTTACTCTGGCTAAGCTCTCAAGGATCAGGTCAGGCCTCAGCATGTGGCATGTATGGAGAGGGGCTATGGGTAGGAAGGAACATCTAGGTTTTTCCTTCCTGCTTCTCCTGGCTCCCTCAAGTCAAATGCCTGGGCTTCAGGGAAGCATAGTGGAGAATTTGGACTCAGAACTTCTCGTACAAGAGGACTTGGGTAACTTACAAAGGGAAGAGAGAGGAACTGACATTGTGGGCCATGTGGAAGGGAAATGAAGCTTCCCGCAGATAGGGTTTTTATTCACATCTCTGCCTTCCCCAGAGCTCTTTGATAAAAAATAATCTCCCGAACTTCTTTCAGAGACCACCAGAGGGTGCACAGAGCCCAGTTTCCCTATTAAAAGGGACCATCAGAACCTGCAGAACAATTAGGGAACTCAGAATGGTAGGCAGGAGAAAGGATGAAAGGAAGCCAGGAGACCCAGAGACAGTTTAGGATAAGCTGCTAGGGCTCCAGACTGTCTGGGATGCCTGCCTCCCCATCTTTACTTCCAGGTCCAGGAGAGGGCGGGGGGAGTGGAGAGTGTATGGGGTGAGTAATTCTGGACATTCTCCTCCATGATGCCAGAGAAGGAAACTGAGGCAGTGGCATAAACTGATACCAATCCAAGCATGTTAAAAGGAATTCAGAGGAAGTAGCATGATACAATGAACAAAAGACCTATTTTGCTAGCTCAACCTTGATCAAATTAGCTAATCTCTCTGAGCCTCAGTTTTCCCATTATGAAATGGGGGGGAAAGGGGGGAGAGTGCCTGGTAGTTTATTAGTACTACATTGTAAGAGTACACTGCAATCTTTTTTAAAAATATATTTTATTGATTTTTTTTTTTTTTTACAGAGAGGAAGGGAGAGGGGTAGAGAGTTAGAAACATCGATCAGCTGCCTCTTGCACACCCGCTACTGGGGGGGAGGGGGGGATGTGCCCGCAACCAAGGTACATGCCCTTGACTGGAATCAAACCTGGGACCCTTGAGTCCACAGGCTGATGCTCTATCCACGGAGCCAGACCGGTCAGGGATACACTGCCATCTTTAAAGTGCTAGTCACTTGTTAGTGGTCCATCTTCTGTGACTACGCCTAGCAGGAGTCTGGGAACAGCTACCTGTGAAGGGTGAGAGTGATGGCTCCATAGGCACCATTTTAACCATTATCCTGGCCCGCTTTAGGATCAGGCTCTTGCACTGCTGCCTGGGAGGAGGCTGGAAGCAGAACTCAAAAATATCCCATCATACACACACACACACACACACACACACACATACACTTGCTGGCCCAATTGCTCAGACCCAGACACAATCTGAGTCACCAAGGCTTCCTGCTGGCTGTGTGATGGAGGACATGTGGAATCAAGGAGATGGCGGGAAAGTACTGAGATGCTCCAGATGTGTGAGTGACCATATCAAGAACAGCCTGGCCGAAACCGGTTTGGCTCAGTGGATAGAACGTCGGCCTGCGGAATGAAAGGTCCCAGGTTCAATTCCGGTCAAGGGTATGTACCTTGGTTGCGGGCACATCCCCAGAAGGGGGTGTGCAGGAGGCAGCTGATCGATGATTCTCTCTCATTGATGTTTCTAACTCTCTATCCCTCTCTCTCTTCCTCTCTGTAAAAAAATCAATAAAATATATTAATAAAAATTAAACACACACACACACACACACACACACACACACACACACAGCCTGAATGCAAGAAGGATGGGGAAGCTGGCTGGAAGGGCCAGGATCAGCTGTAGGCTGAGAGCTCCAGAAACATTCCCCTTCCCTTCAATGACTAAACAAACTAGGTGTCTGGGAGACTGAAGCAGCAAGCTAGGCTCCCTTACCTTGCTGAGGGGTGGTGGCCCCTGAGACCTAGACAATAGGACAACAAACTCCCTTATCCATCTGAGACTCCTTCCCTCTCTTCTTCACCAAGACAAACGTCTCCGGCAGAGCATCAGGACTGAGGGCCCACCTGTTCTCACCCTGGTGCCTCCCCAGCACTCCCCTCCCTGCCACCTCCTCCAGAGCCGCCACAGCTGGAACCATTCTCAGAGCTCCCTTTCAGCCATGGTGCTCCCCCACCCTCAGTGGCCCCTGTAATTGTGGTCTCAGGCTGCGCTGAGGCTGCTGCGGGGGCTGGGGCTGGGCTGAGGGCCAGAGCCCAGGGCAGGGCCAGGGTGGGGCCTGGGGGCTGCCCGTGGCATGGGTCATATGAGGCTGGGGCAGGCACTCTCTCTGGGCTTCATCTGCACGTAGGCCAAGACCCTGCATAGGCCCTCTCCTCCCCAAACTGTGAGAGGTGCCCCAGGCTTGGTGCTT